CTGCACTCCAGCCTGGGTGACAGAGCAAGACTCTGTCTCAAAAAAGAAAGACAGACAGACAGAAAGAAAGAAAGAAAGAAAGAAGGAAAGAAGGAAAGAAAGAAAGAGAAAGAGAGAGAGAGAGAGAAAGAAAGAAAGAAAGAAAGAAAGAAAGAAAGAAAGAAAGAAAGAAAGAAAGAGAAAGAGAGAGAGAGAGAGAAAGAAAGAAAGAAAGAAAGAAAGAAAGAAAGAAAGAAAGAAAGAAAGAAAGAAAGAAAAAATTTAAAAAATAAAAATATAAAAATTAAAAAATCAACCAGGTGTGGTGGCACACACCCATAGTCCTAGGTATTTGGGAGGCTGAGGCGGAAGGATCTCTTTAACCTAGGGGTTCAAAGCTGCAGTGAGCTATGATCACACCACTGCACTCCATCCTGGGCAACAGAACAAGACCCTATCTCTAAAAAAATTTAAAAATAGGCCAGGCGTGGTGGCTCACACCTGTAATCCCAGCACTTTGGGAGGCCAAGGCGGGTGGATCACCTGAGGTTGGGAGTTTGAGACCAGGCTGACCAACATGGAGAAACCCCGTCTCTACTAAAAATACAAAATTAGCCAGGCGTGGTGGTGTGTGCCTATAATCCCAGCTACTCGGAAGGCTGAGGCAGGAGAATCGCTTGAACCTGGGAGGCAGAGGCAGAGATTGCAGTAAGCCTGGGCAACAAGAGTGAAACTCCGTCTCAAAATAAATAAATAAATAAAATTTAAAAATAAATAAAATAAAATAAACCAAAATGGCTAATATGGTCAATTTTTTTACAAAAATAAATATTTTGGCCGGGCGCAGTGGCTCACGCCTATAATCCCAGCACTTTGGGAAGCCAAGGCAGGCGGATCACATGAGGTCAGGAGTTCAAGACCACCCTGGCCAACATGGTGAAACCCAGTCTCTATTAACAATACAAAAATTAGCCAGACATGGTGGCACGCCTCTATAGTCCCAAATACTCAGGAGGCTGAGGCAGGAGAATTGCTTGAATCCAGGAGGTGGAGGTTGCAGTGAGCCAAGTTCCCGCCACTGCACTCCAGCCTGGGTGCCAGAGTGAGACTCTGTGTCAAAAAGTAAAATAAAATAACAGAGAGAAAGACAGAGGCCAAATAGGCAAATACGGTAAAAAGTTTATCTTTGTTGAATCTAGGTGGTCAATTATGTGCATATTCTTTCTAACTTTATGTTTGAAATTTTCCATAATAATAAGTTTGAAAACTAGATGGAGATGTAAAGACAGGGCCTCTCAGCTGATGGTGTTTGCCCAGTTGGTTCCCTCTCTTGGTCTTCTGCCCAGATATTGGCCCCACTGCTATTCCAGCCTGGATCCCCTGAGGCTTGAATGAACTTAGGGACTGGCTCGGCACCTAGAATCGCACCAGGAAACACTGGATCTGGGGCTGGACAACTAAGGCAGGATTCTTAATTGGTATATTAGAGATGAAGACAAACATCTCTCCCATAAGGGCAGCCCTTGGGAGACACAGCCCCTACACAGAAAAGCAAGAGTCCCTCCTCAGCATTTCTCCCAGTGTGAAGAGGAACACAGTAAAAGGATTAACAGCAAGGATGGATCCAGAATTTAGAGCCATTTACAAGGGTACAAAATCATTCCTGGCTACAAAGGGTAAAAATTAGAAAAAAGGGTAAAAAGAGAAAATAGCGTGGTGGCTCACGCCTGTAATCCCAGCACTTTGGGAGGCCAAGGTGGGTGGATCACTTGAGGCCAGGAGTTCAAGACCATCCTGGCCAACACAGTGAAACCCTGTCTCTACTAAAAATACAAAAATTAGCTGGGTGTGGTGGCGCACGCCTATAATCCCAGCTACTAGGGAGGCTGAAGCAGGAGAATCGCTTGTACAAAGGAGGCAGAGGTTGCAGTGAGCCGAGATTGTACCACTGCACTCCAGCCTGGGGACAGAGTGAGACTCCATCTCAAAAAAAAAAAAAAAAGAGAGAGAGAGAGACATAAAAGAATAAAAGGTTAGCCAGGAGTGGTGGCTCACATCTGTAATCCCAGCACTTTGGGAGGCCAGCGCGGGCTGATCACCTGAGGTCCAGAGTTCCCGACCACCCTGACCAACATGGCAAAACCCCGTCTCTACTAAAAATACAAAAATTAGCCAGGCATAGTGGTGGGCGCCTGTGATCCCAATTACTTGGGAGGCTGAGGCAGGAGCACCACTTGAACCCGGGAGTCGGAGGTTGCAGTGAGCCAAGATCGTGACATTGCACTCCAGTCTGGATGACAAGAGCAAAACTCCATCTCAAGAAAAAAAAATCAGAAGATAAAAAGGTTAAAAATGAGGCCAATGTTCTCCAAGTCAATTAATAGACTTAGCACAATTTCCATAAAACATCAATGAACAGTTTTATAGAACTTGACAATATTATTGTGTAACTCATATGGAAAAGGAAGTAGAGGCTGGGCAACATAGTGAGACCCCATCTCTACAAAAAATAAAAAATTAGCCGGGTTTGGTGACACACACCTGTTGTCTCAGTTACTTGGGAGGCTGAAGTCAAGGGGAATCCCTTGAGGCCAGGATGTCAAGCCTGCTGTGAGCTATGATCATGCCATTGCACTCCAGCATGGGTAACGCAGTGAGACCCTGTCCCAAAAAAAAAAGAGAAAAAATGGCAAAAATAGACTTAAAGAATTCTTTTTTTTTTTGAGACGGAGTCTCTCTCTGTTGCCCAGGCTGGAGTGCAGTGGCGCAATCCAGGCTCACTGTAACCTCCGCCTCCTGGGCTCAAACCATTCCCGTGCCTCATTCTCCCAAGTAGCTGGGATTATAGGTGCCCGCCACCATGCCCGGCTAATTTTTATATTTTTTAGTAGAGACAGGGTTTCACCATATTGGCCAGGCTGGTTTCGAACTCCTGACTTTGTGATCCACCCACCTCAGCCTCCCAAAGTGCTGGAATTACAGGCGTGAGCCACTGTGCCTGGCCAAGAACATTTTTTGAGGATCATAAGCTCCTTTAGGAGGAGAGCCACGCCTGGTTTGCTATTTCCCCACCAGAACCCCCACCTCTATCACAGGGTCTTACACAAAACAGGTACTCGAAAAAAGAAAACTTTAAAAATTCATCAGTTCTTGATTCCTTCATCTAAGCTGGTGCAAATGGCTGAAGGAGAGACGGGTGAGATCTAGGCCTTTGGACATTTGACTGCATCACAGATGCTGAGACAAAACCCACCCACCAGGAGACTGCTTGAATTTTCACTAGAACGCCAGCCCTAGCCTTGGAGTTAAGGCTTGAGGCTACGAGTTTAAGCCCAGCCTGGGCAACATAGGCATACCCCTTCTCTAGAAAAAATAAAAATAAAAAATTAATCAGGTGTGGTGGTGCACATCTGTAGTCCCAGGCAGTCAGGAGGCTTGCCTAAGCCCAGTAGTTTAAGACTGCAATGAGCTATGATTGTGCTATTACACTCCAGCCTGGGAAAAAGAGCCAGATCCTGTCTTAAAAAAAAAAAAATGGTTAAAGCCAAGTCGGGTGGCTCACGCCTGTAATCCCAGCACTTTGGGAAGCTAAGGCAGGTGGATCACCTGAGGTCAGGAGTTCAAGACCAGCCTGGCCAACATGGTGAAACCTCGTCTCTATCAAAAATACAAAAATTAGCCAGGCGTGGTGGCCCTTGCCTGTAGTCCCAGCTACTCGGGAGGCTGAGGCAGGAGAATCCCTTGAACTCAGGAGGCGGAGGTTGCAGTGAGCTGAGATCATGCCACTGTACTCCAGCCTGGGGGACAGAGTAAGACTTGGCTCAAAAAAAAAAAAAAAAGGGCTGGGCGCGGTGGCTCACGCCTGTAATCTGAGCACTTTGGGAGGCCGAGGTAGGCGGATCACGAGGTCAGGAGATCGAGACCATCCTTGCTAACACGGTGAAACTCCGTCTCTACTAAAAATACAAAAAACAAAATTAGCTGAGCATGGTGGCGGGCGCCTGTGGTCCCAGCTACTTGGGAGGCTGAGGCAGGAGAATCACTTGAACCCAAGAGGCAGAACTTGCAGTGAGCCGAGGTCACGCCACTGCACTCCAGCCTGGGCGACAGAGTGAGACTCCATCTCAAAAAAAAAAAAAGAAAAAGAAAAAGAAAAGTTTAAAACAATAATAAAAATGGAGATTTTAATAGCGCCTCCCTCATTAAATAATCCCATAGGATAAAGCATGTAAAACATCTGCCAAAATGCATGATACATATATAGCAGGCACTCAAGAAAGAATAGCTGGTATTATTCTTGTTATTATTGCAACTATAGTTGACAAAGCCTTTGTAAGTACAATCTACGAGAATAAATTTCTTAAGGCTAACTTTCTCAAATATAACAATTCCACTATCACCTTTGAAATCCATTTATCAGTCCACTTGGTTCATTTTCCCATGTTCTTTAGGTTGAAGGGAAAAATGGGAGATGTTTTACAGAATTTTTTTTTTAATGGAGTCTCGCACTGTAGCCAGGTTGGAGTGCAGTGGCACCATCTCAGTCCACTGCAACCTCTGCCTCCTGGGTTCAAGCGATTCACCTGCCTCAACCTCCCAAGTAGCTGGGACTACTGGTGTGCACTACCACGCCCGGCTAATTTTTGTATTTTTAGTAGAGATGGGGTTTCACCATGTTGGCAAGGATGGTCTCGATCTCTTGACCCCATGATCCACCCGCCTCGACCTCCCAAAGTGCTGGGATTATAGGTGCGAGCCACCGCGCCAGCCTTGACAGAATTGTTGTCGGAGAGTTCTATTAAGTTTGGCCTCACCAATAGGTGGCTCTATTCGGATAAGGACTAAGTCATCCATTATCTCTGTATTCCTTTGGGTCTAGCAATGTCAGTCACAGAGTAAGTGCTCAAAGAAACGTTTAAATGGAATCCACCTGAAGCCCAAGAGCACTTACCTTATATAAAGCAGAGCTCAGGGAGCCTCCCTGGGAGGTACAAGGTGGAGGAACCATTAATCCCACAGAAATCTGAACAGGAAATGCTCAAGAAGATGGTATGCTGGAGCCTCTGCCCTTTGCAACCCCTGACCTGCAAGAGGCAACTCCCAGAGCTTCCCTAAGATAAAAGTTTTAACTGGTGCCTCAGCCCGGGCATCTGGGTTTGGGAAAAAGACAGCAATTCAAGTTGGCTGTCTGACCAACCACCGTTAAGGGGTAGTTTTTTTTTTTTTTTCATACAGAGTCTCGCTCTGTTGCCCAGGCTGGAGTGTGGTGGCACGATCTCAGCTCATTGCAACCTCTGCCTCCCAGGTTCAAGCAATTCTCCTGTCTCAGCCTCCCGAGCAGCTGGGACTACAGGCACCTGCCACCACGCCTGGCTAATTTTTCTATTTTTAGTAGACACGGGGCTTCACCTTGTTGGTCAGGTTGGTCTCAAACTCCTGACCTCAGATAATCCACCCGCCTCAGCCTCCCAAAATGCTGGGATTACAGGCTACAGCGTGAGCCAACACACCCCACCTAAGGGGAGATTTTATTGGGTTACCTAGTCCCTGGAGAAGGAAATGGGCTATAGTCAATGAAATTAGCATTCTAAAAGCAAGAGAATCTGTAAAGTAGAAAAGGACCTTGAGATGGGAGCCTGCGGTTTACACGGGAAGGCCCAGACTTGGTCCAGTCTGGCCCAAGACCACCTAACTTGTCAGTGGCAAAGCTGGGATGAATAAAAGCTCAGCTTCCTGACTCCCTGTCCCCAGTTCTTTCCACCACTCCAGTCAGCCGCTCCCAATCCCTCTGCTAAGCCGACCCACCTACAGACAGTGTCGCTGTCCCTCATTCCCTGAATCTCTTACTCCATCCCCTACAGCCTTTTCCATCTTTCCTGCCTTCCTAGCGCTATAGCGTTGGCAGGGCAGAGTGCTCAGAGACCAGCAAGCTGGGATGTGGGGTCTTCCTGAGGTGGTGCAGGATTTTTTGGCTGCTTAGAGGAGGAGCAGGGCAGGCATCTGCAAAAGGCATCTGCATTTCTTACACAGTCCCTAACTGCCAGGCCCAGTGCCAGATCGCAGACCCTTTGTCAACAGAGATGCCCTGGCTTTGTAAATCAAGAGGGAGGCAGAAAAAGTCCTCTAGCAACACAGACTGGCCTCTGGGGCAGGCGGGAGAGGGAATTGTCTGTGAAAGTTCTCATTTAAACAAACAAACAACAGGATGAAAATAATAAGCTAGACAAAGAGCCAAGGGGGAACAGCAAGCAAACTCCTGAAATGGCACTGTAATTAAAGCATAGCTGCCTTCCAGATTCTCAAGTGCTGGGATGGGCTGGGGGGTAGATGGGTTTATTAACCTGGTCAAAAGACATCAGGGCAAATTAAGCTATATCCCAGCCTTGCCTCCAAACAATTTAGCATGCAAATGAGACATGCTAAATTTGCATCTGGGGCATGAAGGGGACCAATAAGTAACCTGCACAAGTCTTGGGCGTTTGGAGAGAAGAATCCAAACTGGCCACCGCGAAGCGAGGCACTGGGGAACGCAGAGCAGGGGGTGGGGTTGCTATCCTGTTTCACCAGAGACGATTTTTTTTTTTTGTTTGGTCCAGGCTGATCTCGAGGCTAGGAGCTAGCTGACTGGCCCTCCAGGACCATGCCAGTTCACATATGAGAGTACACCAGACTTAGGCCCAGGAAGATTTACATGAGTTTGTGCCACTATTAACCCCGGGAGATGCCTACCCAATCAGAGCCATTGCGCCAAGGCAAGGAGGGCATTGCCAGGGTGTTTGCATGACAGAAACTAGCATATGGGCTCAAGAGAAACCTTTCTGGGTGGGGGAGGGAGGGCCATACCCACATGAATCACTCTCTGATGGTTTTGCTTTGGTTTCAGAACCTGTGGCTAAGGCAGAAGGACCAGGAGGGCCCCTGGCCGCGTTGCTTTTTCTCCTCCCAGCTGCTTCTGTCTCTCTCTCAGGCTCCTGGAAACAAAACAGCTGAGCAGATAAACAAGTCACCACCTGCTCCCTCCTCCCCCGTGACACCGCCCCTGTCCCCAAGTCCCACCCCTTCTTCTTGCACTCTCTCCCTCCATTCCTCCCTGAAGCCAAACTTCCGGCAGCAGCTGCAGCTGCTCTCCCCCTCCCGTGCCTGCCTCCCAGCACAGCACAGCCCAGCACAGTCCCCTGCAGCAGCCCCTGCCCCACCAATGGCAAATGAGGAACATGTGTACAGAGCCCTGGGCTCTCCCTCCTCCTGAGGCCATTGCCAACAAAACACTTGTGCTTTCTGAAAGTAAGATGTGGAGCTCTGGAGTCCCCAAGGAAAACGGGTTTATGGCATCCGCCAGCCCTGGAGCCAGTGAGTGTCTGGCCCCTTGGCCCAGAGCCCCACTGCCAGGCACAGGCAAACAGGGAGGAAGGGGTTAATCTGAGCAGAGGAGGCCAGGGGGCGCCCAGCTCCATTCCCGACTGCAGGGGACGGTCATCCCCGGGATGGAGGTCAGCAGGAAGCAGCTCAGAGAGGCCAGGAGGCCAAGGCCCAGTTTAAACCCTGAATGAAGGCCACCTTTTCAGTAGCATGCACACATGTGCGTGCACACACAGATACACACTCGTACACACACGTTACCATGCACATGGTATCCTCTTATTAACAACGCTAAGGTTGCCACAACAGACTCTGGGTTTGGTGTCAGAAGCCCTGCATCAGCGCTGTTTAATAAGTCCCCAGTGTCCATGGTAGGCACTATGGAGGCCCAAACTGTTGGGGAGGGGAACCGCAGAGTGCCTCCTCCCAGGGAGGGGTGTGTGTGCCAGGAGCTGGGTGGTGGAGCTCCCCCAGAGGTTTTCTTGGCAGTTTAGAGTTTAGCTCTGGGTTAGTAGGGCTCACCTTAGTTCTGAGGCATGTAAGTAAAGACACTGCAATTAGGAAGGGGATGGGGCAGGAGACCAGCCTGTCTTCACCCCCAAGCTTCCATATGTCTTTCTTACTTTTTTTTTTTTTTTGAGATGGAGTCTAGCTCTGTCACCCAGGCTGGAGTGCAGTGTTACGATCTCAGCTCACTGCAGCCTCCGCCTCCCAGTTCAAGTGATTCTCCTGCCTCAGCTTCCCAAGTAGCTGGGATTACAGGTGCCCACCACCACGCACAGCTAATTTTTGTATTTTTAGTAGAGACGGGGTTTCACCATGTTGGCCAGTCTGATCTTGAACTCCTGACCTCAAGTGATCCGCCTGCCTCAGCCTCCCAAAGTGCTGGGATTACAGGCATGAGCCACCGTGCATGCCTGGCCCTTTCCTTTCCTTTCCCTTTCCTTTCCTTTTCTGAAACAGAGTCAGCCAGGCACAGTGGCTCACACCTATAATCCCAGTACTCTGGGAGGCCGCGGTGGGTGGATCATGAGGTCAGGAGTTCAAGACCAGCCTGGCCAACATAGTGAAACCCTGTCTCTACTAAAATACAAAAAATTAGCCAGGCATGGTGGTGTGCACCTGTAGTCCCAGCTACTTGGGAGGCTAAGGCAGGGGAATCACTTGAACCTAGGAGGTGGAGGTTGCAGTGAGCCAAGATCATGCCACTGCACTCCAGCCTGGTGACAGAGCGAGACTCCATCTTAAAAATAAAATAAAAATAAAAATAAAATAAAAAAAGAAACAGAGTCTTGGCCGAGCACGATGACTCATACTTGTAATCCCAGCACTTTGGGAGGCAGAGCAGGAGGATCACTTGAACCCAGGAGGCGGAGGCTGCAGTGAGCCAAGATCACACCACTGCACTCCAGCCTGGGCGACAGACAGAGTGGGACTCCATTTCAAACACAAAAACAAAAAAAGAAAAAGAAGAAAGAAAGAAAGAAAAAGAAACAGTCTCGCTCTGTCTCCCAGGCTGGAGTGCAGTTGTGTGAGCTTGCCTCACTGCAGCCTTGAACTCCTGGGCTCAAGGAATCCTCCCACTTCAGCCTCCTGAGTCTATAGGTGCACACCACCACACCCAGCTAATTTTTAAGTGTTTTGTAGAGACGGGGGTCACCCTATTTGCCCAAGCTGGTCTCAAACTCCTGGCCTCAAGCGATCCTCCTGCCTTGGCCTCCCAAAATGCTGAGATTACAGTTGTGAGCCACGACGCCCAGACCACATTTCCCCAGAACTCTATCTTTCCTGCTTGTGGACAAGGCAGGGGATGGATTTGGTGTTTGAGAAAGACAAATACACTTTTAATTTGCTGACTGTCTCATACCTGTCTGCACAGCCCGCCTCTGAGGAAGACCTGGTCTTCCTTCACTTCACTCTGCAGGAAGTGATGAGTGGCTATGGGAAGAAATACGGTGGCTAGGGGAGGGGCGAAGGAGAAGCACCTGCAGTAGAGCAGGCTGGCTGGAGAGTGAGGCCACTGCCCACTAGTGACTCCCCCGAGGGTGCTGCCTTGGTGGGCTTCCCCACTCTGGCCTTTTGTCACCTTGTTTGCTGAATCCAGGTAAATTTTTTCATCAAATTGGAAAGCAATTCCGGGTAGTGGGAGTCAGATGTGTCCCTGCCCTTGCTGTTGCTAATGAGCTGTATGACCTTAGCTGAGCCATTTGATCTCTCCGCAACTGTTCCTCGGGCTGTGAAACGTGAGGGTTGGAGTCTCTGAGTTCTAAGGTCCTTTTCGGCTGTAAGTTCTAAGGCCTGTGAATACCACAGTGTGATTAAGCCAGCTGGGTGGTGGTGAGGGCCTTGTAAGTTTGGGTCTCACTGCACTGCAAGCCAGCGGTAGAATTCTCCACGTCTTTGTTAAGAACTCTTGGGGCCGGGCGCGGTGGCTCACGCCTGTAATCCCAGCACTTTGGGAGGC